AGAAAAAATTTGCGGCCCAAGCAGTCATTATAAAAAAGTTGCCAGGAAATTGGCATGTACAACAGGAAGTTGTCTGCGTAAACGTCAAAAACTTTGAGTTTTAAATGAGAGAGCAATTCTGATTTCAACTCAAAAACTTTTTGTTTGAATACTCATCTTCTCCTTCTGGAAAAAATGTAGTAATCAAAATTATTATTTATCTATAAATAGCTTGCATTGATGTTTTGTTCCGACTTGCTAAGAAGTGACGGAAACTTCGTGTAAGGGGTGGTAATTTTTTCTCCAGGCAATTTCCACGCATCAACGAAATTTTTATACCATCTAAAAGCCAGTTGTTTCAGAGATTATTTTTAAAAAGTTGTTTTTATCAGTGCTCAAAAAAACTTATCAGTTTTCAAAAAAAACTTATCAGGGTTTAAAAATTTGCATTTTGGCTAAGTTACTGCGCCAGATATTTCGTGTTAATAAGCTGTTAACGCGTAAGAGGCTATTCAATCCGCTCATGTAACTTCCCAATTGAGGCAATTTACTTGTTGATAATAATACGCTAGCGTGTGGGGCAAATTAGGAAAGTTTTTAATCAAAACATCAAATTTTATTATTATTTTTGGAAACTTCCATCATTTTTATCTCAAATGATGTTGTGAAAAATTGTTTCAAAGACATCGGCGGGCAGACAGAACAATTAGAGCTTCTCCCTGATACGAGCAGTCTTGTTGCTTGAAGAACTCAACGTTATAAATGTTCAAAAAACGCCACAGCTATCCAAAAGTTAGAATGAGAAAAAATACGCGGCCCAAGTAGTCATTATAAAAAATATGTAAATCATGGACCTGGAAAATTTTTTTAGAGATCATCCAAGAAAATACGTTTACCTAATCTGAACTAGCTATACAAAGTTTTCTGCATCTGCTTCAAGTCCAATTTCAGATCATTCATATAGAGGATGGAAAAGAACAGTGGCTTAGAGTAGATTTTTATTCGTCCAATTTTACGTTCCACAAACAAAGAACATAGAGGATCAAGTGTCGTATGAAACTCGCTAGTGTCTTTCTTTTCTAAACCTAAATAAATAAATAGTCACTAGATAAATACACAATTATTTTGATAAAAAACTATTGCGATCTATGAAATTATGCTCTGCATGTTTATTTATTTTGATAAAAAAAAGTTTGAAAAAAAAATAAAACGATAATTATAGTGTATTTTGAATTTTGTCCATTTTATTCAACTATAAACACGTCTTGCAAAACTGCGCAGCATCAAATTATCTTTTTTGAAAGCCCTACATTACTCCATGCACAAGAAGTAGATACCGTCACCAGCACAGACCCAGTGCAAAAATTCAGGTTACAAAATGATAGTTTCAAATACAGACAAAACTAAAACTTCCCTCAATTTTGTTCTGCTGCACTTGAAAAATATCGGTCGTAAAAAATAGGAAAGTATTCAACTTTTGCTTTTCTAAATGAGACAATTGAACCGGCAGATTAAGGCAAGATTTTAAAGTAAGTATAAATGAATTCATTTTCAAAGATACAGTAGTGCACATTCTTTTTCCCTGGATCACCAAAATCCTTAAAGTTAAGCCTTTATTTCGAAAAACAATTCTTAAACTTTTTAGCGGATATGCATATTGGCTAATTAATTATTTTATGATTCAATATTCGTTTCACAATTTCAAGTAGATTTATAACACAGAGGCGAAGTTGCATTTCGCATACACAAGCAAAAATATGACCGATAACGCTACTGGGAAAAACTGAATGAGTGAAACTCTGAGTCTAAAAAATTTCTTAAAGAAGGCACGTCAATTATAAGTTTACGCAAATGCTAAGTGACGTAAGCCACTTAAAGCGGACGCACTTCAAATAGTTTACGAAAAATTTTAATAAAAACATCCGAACCGGCTTACTTCAAACCCCCTTTTTGCCCAGGTTCGAACCCCCTTAATTTTTTGCGGATCTCCTTCCCTGTCTCTACGCAACAGATTCATGATACCTTGAAGCTAAAGTGCTATTTGTAATATAAAAGTTTGTGTTTATATCCTTAGCAATGGCTGTACTTAATAGCAGGTTATTGATCAAAATGAACTCTTTTTGTCGCACCAATTTTCGCATCGCAACAAAATTTGCGACTTACGTTGGAAAAAAAGAGAGTTCGTACTATCACACAAGCTTCGTTTGTGTAATTAGGCCAAATTGTCGGAAAAATTTTGTTGGTTTAAATTTGCAATAAAACTTTGAGACATACAACTGCCTCCTTTCATTCCGAATGTTTTCAATTTCTGAAGCTACCCGCCGTAGAACTTTGATATGTCCAGATAGTTAGCAGTTGAAAATTTACTTGATGGTAGTTGTAGATATACTAGTTGAAGATTTTTTTAAACGAAAAAGCTGTTTAGTCTGGTTCACAAGCCTCGCAAAAGTAGAATCAGTCTTTCCGATATCGTCGATTTGAATACAAAAGAATCAAGCAGTCTTCAACGATCAGTAATCTACCCTTACCACCGATTGTGCCACTTTAAATTGAGGAAAAGTAGGATGCTAAACATGTCAGTTCTAAGCTAAAATGCTTAAATAAAACATTTCAAATCTCCACCTAAGATGGGCAAAAATTTATAAGCTAACTACAAAAATGCTAATTTCAATCACTATGCTCTGTTTTTCCTGTCTCTGTTTGGTCTTCGTTGTTGCCATATCTGTCAGAACAATTGTGCGTACCACAAAATCAGGTCAACTTACTTGCCAAGTAAACGAATTTATAGTTCATCTGAATTCGTCTAAGTAGCCTTTTTTGCGTCGGATAAAATAAATTTTTCTAACTATTTCTCTATCAAATAAAATCAAAATTAAGCACGCACAAAATTTATATCCAATTTAAGCAATTATTAATGTCGTCGGTTAGTTTTCGCCACTTGTACAGCAACAATTTTTTTTGAAAGCCCTACAACACCTCCCACATGGAGCAGTTTACTCTCACCAGCACCGACACAGTACAAATGCATAAAGTTGGGTTTGAGAAATATGAATTTTAAATAAAGACAAAACTTCCTTCTAAACTTTTTCAGCTGCACTTGGTTGAAAAAAATAACATCAAATTATACGAAAGTAATCAACTATTGTTTTTCTAAATCAAATATTTGAATTACAGAGAAAAACTACAGATTTCCGACACTGCAGATCGTGATTATATTAAAGGATCACCAATTAAGTCAATTTTTTAATAAATACTTTTATTTGCGAGTTAGGTTAGAAAAAGAGAACGTTCGTAAGTGTAATGAGTTCGTCTAAAATACGTTTATTTTTTAGATAAAGTTAATATTTTTAAATGTTCCTCCCTTAAAACAAGTCAAAAGTTAGGCATATACGAAATTTGCATCTATTTAGGCAATTAAAAAAGTCGTCCGATCTTCTTGTTCCAATTGCACAGCAACAATTAATCTTTCAGTTTTTGAAAGCCCCTCCACTACCACAAGCACAGGAAATGTATATCCTCCCCAGCACAAATGAAGTGCAACAGTTCAGGTTGAGATATTATAGGTTTAAGTACAGACAAAACATCTTTCTATTTTTATTAGTTGCACTTGATTGAAAAATATTTGTCATCAAATTATAAGAAATTAATCTAAGGCTGTTTTTCTAAATGAGATTATTTAACCGGCGGATTTAGCATAACTTTAAAGCGGGTATGATTGAACTCAATATTAGAGATTCAGTAGTCCACATTCTCTGCCCCAAAACTCAACACTTTTCGTAATATTAAGCCTTCAATTCGAAAAAAGCTTAGGTGTATGTGCAGCCCGGCTAATTGATCAATTTTTAATTCAGTTCACAATCATAAGTTGACGTATAATTAAGTCGAAATGATCAAAATTATTTATATATATTTTTAGCAATATCTTTTTGAGATATAGAACCGCCCTCTCTATATTCAGAAAGGATTGTTTTAAAATTTTTCAATTTCTGAAGCAATTCGGCCCCAGAATATTTAGCATGTTCAGCTAGTTGCTGATTGCTTATTTACTCTCACTTCATTACGAGGCCAAACTGTGCATTCTGGGCAATGTAAGCGGATTCCGGAGCAGGGCAAAATCAGATTTGTCGCGGTATCCACAACACTTACTTTTCTTTGATCTTCTTTGCTGTTTTTGATTCTACAAACAAGTAGCTAAAACACTGTATTGCTTAAAATCGCTCCAAAAACGGGCAATTTTGCGAAATACGCAACAAAATTTGTGGAATCCGCAACAAAGTTTGCGGAATCTGGAACAGTTTGTGGAATCCACAAACAAATAATAATATATGTGTTTAGTAAATTTAAGCTGTCCTGGAGTTCGCAACTGTAAGCGGAATCCGCAAATTGTAAGCGGAATCCCCAAAGTGTAAGTGGAATCCGCAAATTGTAAATGGAATCCGCATTTTGTTTGCGGATTCCATTTATGCATTTGGATATAAGTAGTAGCGTTTCAAATTTTATCTCGTAATTACTAGGTGGTCACCAGTAAGTTCATTCTCAATTACCAAGTTGATCAGCTACCAGTTGAAATGCCAAAGATTCAATCTACGCTTACATTTTCCGGAATCAACTTAGTTGCGGAATCCAGTACAACTAGCTATATTCGCCTTTTGAGAAATCCGCCACACAAAAGTCCCGACAAAATTTACGTTAAGGGTATGTGTACGCGGAGTCCACAGAAATTTTGTAAGTGGAATCAACAGTCATTTTGGAACATGTTAAAAAAGATTTATATCTGGAATCGAGAAAAATACAGACACAAAACTGTGCGCCTATCTAATGAACAGTTTGGCCTCGTAATGTTATGAAAAGCGAGATAGCTTTTTCAAAACGAAATGACCGATTAGTCTGTTTCGCAAGCCACGCGAAGTAGAATTCGCTTTCCATTTAGTTCGAATTTAATCCAGAAAATAATCAAGTAGTCTTCAACAATCACTCAATTCCCTTGATCACTAATTTTGCCACCTTAAACTCAGGAAAAATGGGATGCTAAACATGTTAATTCCAAGCTAAAATGCATTATTTCAACATTTCAAATCTCCATGTAAGATGTACAAAATATTATTAAGCTAACTACATTGAAGCTAGTTTCAACTACTAAGCACTCTTGTCTCAGTTTGCTCATCGTTGTTGGCATATCCGCCAGACAAAAAGTGCGTATCACAAAATCACGTCAGATTTAGTTGTCAGATATACGAATGTTTCTTTTATATGACTTCGTCCAAGTAATGCTTATTTGCGTTAGATAAAATAGATTTCTTTAACTATTCCCCCATCAAATCATTGTAGCAGAATAACGGACTGAATCAACGGTCAAGCATTTAAGAAGTTTGTACCAAACATTGAGCCCCCTTTTGCAGTATGGAGGGGGGTAGTTATATTTCTTCTAAGCCATTCTGGTGGTTTTACAATCTCTTTGTGATCTGACAACTTGGTAATAATTTCATTTTTATTCTTCTTTTGATTGACACAACACTTAGACGAACAGACAGACATAACAGGCTTAAGAATTCAGTATACATCGACTTGCTTATTCTTGCATTATATTTTGATTTCAAGTAAGTCAAGAACAAGGTAATTTTCAAAATTGAAAAAACTTAAGCTCACTTAAGTAGAAAAGAGTAAGAAGAGGATTACCGAATCATCATCTTCTGGTAAATCGAAACTGGCAATGATAATTGCACTTCGCAGTGTGATCAAACTGACTGATTAAGATATCAAAACTCTTAGATCAATTGAAAAATAAACTCTATTGGACCAGCTTTTTTGCACTTGTCAGCGATGATTACCAAAACCCTCAAAATTTTCAAATTCCATTTAATCTCGAAAATCAGTTGATTTCCTGTATACTGAACCCGTAGGCACTGAAAACTTATAAACCCGAATAACAAAGATGACAACTGTAATTGATTGACATTTAATGCAAATTACTGCACATTTGAAACTTGCAAGATAAGATGTTGCCAAAAAAGTCAAAGACATAATTGGATTAATGAGCAAGCTGAAATTTCAGCATAAAAATTTACATTTTCAGCCAGCCTTGAGACAATATTTCGGTCTGAAAACTATCTTTGGCAGGTTAAAATTTACCGAAAAAATTAATCGGTTAGAATAGAAAGAATAACTTAATCAACCTAATCCAATTTTTCGCAACCCTTTACTACAGTACGAAAGCGAACAACATTAAACACAAATCACAAGCAAAAATCAAAAGCGATAAATTAATCAAACACGTAGCAAAACTAGAATATCTAAAACCGATTTGATCATGAAATTTGATCGTGCATCTAACGTTGGTAAATCAATTTGGTGAAACCTGAAATCAAAATTAGTGAAGCTGGCAGCCAAACAATTAAGTCCAAACTAACGGGCAATTTTAACAGAACATTGAAAACTACCCATGAAATCACGAAGCATAATGTAAAAAAGGAAGACTTTTCATATTTATAGTCTCAGTCTATAACCTCTTTAAGACTTGATTGTGCAGTTTGTTTTCGTCCTAAGGACACCAGACCCCGGTTCGACTCCTGGAGTCTCCGCGTGTTTTTTGTTCACTTTCTACAGATGCAGCAGCAGATTGAACAGCAGAGCCCTATGATGACTAGAAGTACTAGAGCCAGCAGAATGCTTCCGATGATGTAACTGAAAAAATATACACTTTTGATAAGGGCTGATTAGTCTCTTTTTTTTGTGGGCTTCAATAGCTACTCTGATGTTCTCGTCTCGAATTGCATCAAAAAGTAAGATAAAACACCGACCCGTTATTACACAGGGAAATTGAGACCCTGAAATTTATTTGACCCACAACCTCTGCGCCCTGATGTTGAGTTATCACCCTTTCCTACTAAAAACGCAAGAATCCGAGTTACGTTTACAGAAGGGATCGCTAAACTGATAGTTAGGAAAGCAAAAGATGTGTTTGCAGTTCAAATAACCTTAATTTCCTTACTTTTCATATTTAAAAATTTAGAAAAACAATGCTCAAAACAGGCGAAGAGGAGCTTCGCATCACTTGCGATAGAAACATTTATTCCGGAAATCGTGTAAATCAGTTCCAATGATTATTCCACACATGGACGTCAAATGCAGCTTCGTGCCACTTGCAATGCATTAGAAACCTAGTCTGGCGAGCTTACAATAGAAATATTAGTCGAAAGCGCCCAACTTGGAAACATTGCTCGAAAAAAAACAAATGTTCATAATTTTTTATGATTACTTTCTGATGAACGTATTTAAGATTGTGACTTTGACTTTGTAAGAGTTTTCCCACAAAATTGTAAGCAAAGTGACTTGCAGCTTGCCAACGTGTATTTGCTCTTAATTAAACAGTGGTCTAAAAATTTTGAAATAATAAAAGAGCCACAAAAATGCGTCGCTTCTGGGAAAAAACCTTATTGGACTTTATAAAAAAGGAGTTCGACTGTGGTCAAATGAATTAAACTTTGTTACAAAAGAGTTCGACTTTGTTAAAAGTGAACCAAATCTTCTTTGCAATTATTTGAGTTCGACTGAGCTCAAAATGAATCAGTTCTAACCATATCGCCAAACAATTTCCATTTAAAAAGTATCAACCCTATTTTGTTTTGAGCTCAGTGCTATAAGAAAATTAAAAAAGGGAAGCGGATTTAGCAGGTTTTACTTTAGTGCTCAGAATATCAGCCCAGCATAATCTAACAGTGAGCTCAAAAACCCTTGCGTTTTTTGTTGTAATTGTGCTTATTAACTTAATATGCCGACGAACAAGATAAAAGTCAACGAAACGACAGCCGCTCGAACAGCGGCGAGATCGATTGAAAGGAAAATGGAAAGTCATGCAGCATTTTTGCAAAAATCGACAACATTCGCAAATCAACCCTTTAGCCTGAACGTCATTATCCAGAACAGATCATCAGAATCGCATCGAAGATGGATGGTTGTTTCTACCATCATGACAGGACACAATACCTGGATACAAACTGAACGCGAAAACCACCTAGACATGCTTTGAAAACAAGCACATCAGGAAACAAAACGGCACGACTTCGCTTACGGGATCTTCTCAGGGAGATATCAGGTTTGGGTACTTCTGGCACAGGTATATCAAAGCAACATACAGCTACTAATAATATCAAAATCGCCTAGTTACACAGAGTTACAAGAGTTCCAGTAGCAGCAAGAGCCACAATGACATAGAAAAACTAGGTCTTACAAAACCCATGTACATTTTCCGAAGTTTTGAAGCATTGCTTACCCCCCCCCCCTTCCCACGTCCTCAGCACAAAACCAAAAGAAAAAAACGAAACATTATTCAAGCGGCCCAATATACGCCGACATAAGATTATCCGAACTCTTTTAGGCCAAACAAATATTTCAAAGGAAAAACAAAACCGCAATAAAAAAATCTGATTTGGTTCACAACTAAAACAAACACAATTACCCTTAGCAACTATTTTCAATTTTTGAATCAGTTTTCCCATACCCGACTTCGATTTCGGAAAATATGATAATTCATGTATCTGCTAATTTTCTAATCGGTCAATATTATTTTCATGGCCTGACTTTAATTGCTTTCTTTGAGATATTCGCATTTTCTTTGAGGTTTTCAAATAATCAATTCTGAACCGCTGAAAATGATTTTCCAACATTCGGTCCCTCCATCATGTGGGACGCCACCAAAAATGTGAAATGCAGACGTGCTCAAAATATGTCGATGAAGTCACCGACTATGTTAAGTCGAAAACTTTCTTCATAATTAACAAATGTTGTTAACGGCGAAAAGTCTAGTTCTCGATTTCCAGACCCCTGCTGTTGCAAGTGTAATAATTAGGACATACGGATCCATCCATAGCTTCCGTGTGACCAAGCGGAAAAGGAAAAGTTTTAAAAAATCAGCATTTTTCAAATTCATAGATTGACGAATTGAAAGAAAAAAACAAAAATTTTAGAAAATTTCTCTACTAAAAAGCTTAGAAATCAATTACATGCACCTATACAGGATTATACAAAAAGTATTTAGATAAATCCATGTAAATTATGAGGAAAGAAAATAAGCAGACAAACGATGAAAACAATTTCGCTTTTGCAATAGATTAAGGTTCTGGCCCGGCTCAAACTACGGAGCTGTGCCGTCAACCGCATGGATGCCATTTCTGCTCCAAAAAAGCTGATTAAAACACTTAAAATGAAGTGACTATAAATCCAGGGCGAATTTTCAACAAACCACCATATCTACAAAATGCCATATCTTGAAGCAGAAATTACACCAGAATTACCTAAATTACATACGGGTTACGTAACAACTGCCGAACAACAGTGGCAACCTGTCGTTATGTTGCATAATACTATTAATTTTTGGCTTGTTGGAATGGTAATCTTATTTTCGGTTTGTTGGCCATTCGGCTTGTTGGCCTACCACCAAATCAAGCTATTAAAAGATTCAATGATTTTGTTAGACAAAATGTTTGCAGAACAAAGATTTCGTCTAAATAACGGCTGCTAATCATAAGCACAATAAAATTTATATTTGCTACGCATATTAAAATGCAATGGGTCGAACAATGCAAACTAAAGTCTAAAAACGGCTCGTTTTTGCAAAAATTTTATACAGCGTAGAAAAGTTTGTCAGAATCGAATCTTTTTGGCATTTCAAGAAAGCACAGAAAATGTATTTGGTGGACCTAAAACATACCGGTAAAATCCCCCTTTCAAAAAATTATAACAGCAGACGCCTGACAACTTCAATTCCTAAATTTAAATTACAAGAATGCATCATCTCGTACCCTCCGAAGCTCCTGAAGATGGCCTCTATGCCCTCATTCATGTACTCAGTGGTGGTGCAGCAGTCTCCTCCCCAACAGCAGAACTGCTCATCCCCATCAGTGCAATCCTCATTCTTCGTACAGTAGAAGTTACTGCCAGCCCCAAATGCATCCAAGAAACTACCTAAACACAGAGAAAACATTTAATATGTTTTTTGCTTTGCATCTCTTAATTACCATAAAAACTGACACTTTCAATGAAAAGATGGGAAAAAACTATCTACATTAACTCCCCTTTTTATCTATTAATTACCATAAAAACTGACACTTCTAAATTAAAATTGAAAAAAAATAAATAAATAGATTCAATTGTTACACGAAATTTGTTACAGTATTCCAACCTACTGTTTCTTGAAATGATTCGTGTCAATATGAGTTATATTGTTTTTGTATTTATAATATGGCGCTACTCAGCGGCTGATCACTATAAGACAGAAACACTCATACATTGATATTTTGTCAAAACTGAAATTGATTGTCAAACATATTTCACATCAAAATTATCGCGCTGAAAGAAATTTTGACGGTGAGCTTATGGACTCAGGGTAATTTTAGTTGCATACTGAAACATGATACGAAGCCAAATATAATTTTTATAATTTTTTAAAGAAAAAAAATCAACCTTCATATCCCTCAAAAGAATCAAAACTGCATGTAAATAGCTTATATTGCTTAACATCTCTTATGCTGGTTCTTTCATGCATGAATAAATTGCCTTTATCTCAAGCTTCTGCTTTTATTTTGATAACACCTTTCTTTGATAGCCGCAACCAATTCACACACTGCACATCCAAGAGCTCTTTCATTTGAATTATCCAGCCAAGTGGTCACACGATAAAAGCAACAGAAAATAACAATAGTCAAACTAACTTTCCCAGTTTTTTTCTCCGATTGATGATATGAAAAAACGATTGGACCAAATCGCAGTTATTCAACCCAAATAAAATAGGTTAAGACATCGCTCTACACCGATACCTTAATATAAAGCACTGCATATAGATATTCGAATACCTTAAAATTCAAGATTCCTATTTGTTGCCAACTGTAGAATTGGTGATTCTATTGTATTACATGCTATAGTAATCTGAGCGTAAGATTGATTAGTCATCAAGTTAAGTAGCACAGCAAACACAGGGTTGAAATCAAAATAGTTCAATCTTCGGAGATATGGTCCCTCCTAGGCCAGGAAATAAAATTTGACAAAATTGGTGAATCCCCCTCCCAAATCGGAACTAAGGAAGCTATCTTTATGAAACTCAGAGTAGTGCTACAAGAGATGATTTGAACAGGGCATACGATAAACGGGACCCCTCACACCCTTGGGGGCAAGTTATAACAGTCCCCGGAAGTGTAAATGGCCCTATCAGAACTCGGAAACTAGTGGCAGCATGGAGTTCAAATTTTAATATTGTAGGCCTAGTTGTGAAACTTAGGTGAATGATTGATATAATTTACATCATTTCCAACGGTTGGTTCGGAAGCTATTAGCACTTGAAAAAATACCTCCTTCGACCGAAAGTAGGCAATTTACGCAAAATAATGAGCGGTTGCATAATAATTTTAATGCGACAATAGACACAATAAAAGAACCCCGAAAAAAGACCCCTAGTGAGTGAAACCCCTCCGGCGGCTCCTTCCGGTGTTAATAGCCTTCCTGTGTTTCCGGTAAAAGTGATAATGGACCTTAGAAATGGGGTAGCTGCTTTGAACCCGAGTTTAGGACCAGGCTGAATTAGTTCTGTCAGCGAGTTGCGCTGAATCCGGGTTTAGTACCGGATTGAATTAGTTGTGCAAGCGAGTTGCGCTGGAATCTGAATTTAGTACCGGGTTGAATTAAATGTGTGAGCGAGCTGCGGTGATGCAGTAGGCGAGTTTTGAATCGAGCCAAGCGAACATTGCCGATCGAGTCAACGAAGCGATTGAACGGAACGAAACGCGCGCTTATAGAAGTTGTTAAAGAGTAGTAAGCTCATTATGGGTATTGTAAATTGCGTTTATTTCCTTTGCGATTAAAAATTTACTAATTGGGCCCACGTTTTGCTGAACTAGCTAGAAACGCAAAAGGAGCCGAAAACAGCATAAGCCAAGAAGGAAGTTGCGTAATCCTTTGATCGACTGATTAACTGACCACCAACATGGGAGTGGAGAATAATCCACCGACTTTCGGGATTGTGGATTATTCTCCCCGGCTATTACACGGTATAAAGGGGAGAAACTCTGCGGCCCTTAAGTAGAGTGAAAGCTTAAAAGAAACGGCTCCCCGAGGGAAATCTACACCAAGCAACCCTGGAAATTGATATTTTTGTTTGTTACCAAAAGATATTAAATTTGAGCGGTAGAAGCGCAGCAAAAACTCTTTTGGTTCATTTTTTTTACTTTGCTCGACATCAACAAAACATAGCCAACTGCCAGTTGGAAAAGAGTAAGGAGCACAAAGAAAGGAAAAAGGCTAACTTAATTGTTGAAAAACACAAAAAATTTCGAATTTTTAAGAAGAAATATGCATAGTATAAGCTCTCTGAATGTCAGGAACAGTATTCAAAACGTCAAGGAAAACCATTTAAGCTAAAATTCGCCAAATTCAGGTACAATAAACTACAATTTTTTTGAGCACTTTCAATTTCAAGAATCTTTTACGAGCTTTTTTCTCAAAAAAAAAATCAACGACTGTTCGTTCGCCAAATAATCTACTGGATAGATTATTTAAAAATTTTTTTTAAAGATGTAGACGCACGTTTTAGTTGTATAATATTTCCTTGGTCCCACTACATCCAGAGAAGTCGAATACAGCGAAACTTCCATAAATGATTCACAAAGCTGGAAGTACGTGTGTGACATTGAATGATTTTGTTATACTGGTAGCGGACGAAAAGTGTGATTTCGATATTTGGATTTTGCATTAGACCTCAGTTGTTTTTCTAGTAAAATAGAATTGGAAAAATTATGAGATGATCAATTTTCATAAGAAGATAGCATTTATTAAAAAATTAGGGAGCCGCCACTTCTGCAAGAGTAATTATCGCAACTGGTTCAAATGAACTTTCACCTCCGATTTGATTCTATAAAAACTAAGAAAACTCAAAAAGTTTCTAAAAACGGTCAAAAGACTTTCCAAAATCCTGAACTATTTTTTTGCAAAGAGCAGGTTATGTACGCTTAAGCATAGAAGATTCCGAAAACCGGCTTCGAGATTGAACACAACCTATGAGATCAGATTTGGCAAGATAGTTAGCGCGATAAGTCCAAAAAAAACGGCCAGCAAATGGTAGCTTTTTGTTTGAAAAAACTATGCATAGCCGCTTATGCAGGAGGAAGTCATGCAAACTGTACTATCGATTGAACCCAAAATCTCAGATTTGGGAGGGTAGTTTTCGAGAAAAAGTCGAAACATTTCAAAAAACGGTAAAAAAAATTGAACATTTTTCTGTTCCGAGGTTCGAATCATCTGGTGTCAGAAAAACTAATAAGCAAAAGAACTTCCCATAACGTGTTCTGAGAATTAAGCAGACTCTCAGATACGAGAGGATAGTTTTCGAGAATACTCAAAAAGTTTAAAAACGATCAACAATCTAAAATTTGACTTCTACGAGGGCGATAACTTCTTCTGTGAAAACTTTTGCGAGTGTCCTTTTCTTGTGTGAAAACTTTAGCTTTCGAGAAAAGTCAAAAAGGTTCACAGAATGATTTTGACTAGTTCGAGGGCCATAACTATATCTGTTTAAAAAATTGGGCTAGCCACTTAAGCAGAGAAGCTTTTCTAAACAGTTCTATTCATTGAAACTATTAACTCATATTCAAATATGAGCGGTAGTTTTCGAGAAAATGAAAAAAAATCAAAACATGCGTCAAATAATCTTCCACGCTTTTTCGAAGACCGTAGATAGATGGTTGAAGTAAAAAAGACTCTAGCGGATAATACAGGCACACAGGGGAGTAGGCGGTCTTTCAACTAACACCCTTTTGGAAATCAGTAGAAAATTCTGAAAAAAAAAATTAGCAAAATATGAAAAAAGTTTTGAAATTGAAAAAAATGAAATTTCAACGAACCGATTGGTTAACACACAACCAACTTGAAAATTAAAGAGGAAGCTGTCATAATTGTTTTTCCTTGGAACGACCCAAAATTAGGTCATGAATCCGATGAAATATAGAGTTTTGTAATAACTCGATTAATAGCAAACATTTATTAAGCATACCTCACATGCCATAAATATCGTTTCTTATGCTGGTTCTTTCATGCATGAATAAATTGCCTTTATCTCAAGCTTCTGCTTTTATTTTGATAACACCTTTCTTTGATAGCCGCAACCAATTCACACACTGCACATCCAAGAGCTCTTTCATTTGAATTATCCAGCCAAGTGGTCACACGATAAAAGCAACAGAAAATAACAATAGTCAAACTAACTTTCCCAGTTTTTTTCTCCGATTGATGATATGAAAAAACGATTGGACCAAATCGCAATTATTCAACCCAAATAAAATAGGTTAAGACATCGCTCTACACCGATACCTTAATATAAAGCACTGCATATAGATATTCGATTCGAATACCTTAAAATTCAAGATTCCTATTTGTTGCCAACTGTAGAATTGGTGATTCTATTGTATTACATGCTATAGTAATCTGAGCGTAAGATTGATTAGTCATCAAGTTAAGCAGCACAGCAAGGGTTGAGTTCAAAATAGTTCAATTGTCGGAGATATCGTCCCTCCTACGCCAGGAAATAAAATTTGACAAAATTGGCGAATCCCCCACCCAACTCGGAACTAAGGAAGCGATCTTTATGAAAATCAGAGAAGTGGTACTAGAGATGATTTACCCAAGGCATACGAAAAACGGGACCCCTCAGACCCTTGCGGGGGCAACTGATAACAGTACCCGGAAGTGTAAATGGCCCTATCAGAACTCGGAAACTAGCGGCGGTATGGGGCTCAAACTTTAATACGTTGTAGCCCTAGTTGTGAAAGTTAGGGGGATGATTGATATAATTTAAATCATTTCCAGCGGTTGATTCGGAAGCTATTTGCGCTTGAAAAAATACCTCCTTCGACCGACAATAGGCAATTTACGCAAAATAATGAGCGATGGCATAATGATTTTGATGCGACAATAGACATAAT